TTTTCGCGTTAAAAATTTCGGCCGCAACCTCGGTAATAATTTATTTTCTTATGGTACAATGTTCTATGACAGTTGCTATCAGTCAGTTTATTCACTTTAACTGCAATTATTAAGGACCATAATTTTTCTGGTTGTGATTTACTTCCTATCTTCTCCTTATCCATACTGAATATCATTTCCTTTTGCCACTCAGCAATGCACGGAAGTCAAATCTCAAAGAACCATCTAGGTTTCTTCTTGAGAAAGTTCATATACGGTTTGTATATTGTTAAGTGATGAATTAGATGTTTCTTCCTTTGGGCGGAGAAACTGTAGCGCTGCTCAATAATTTCGTATAACTGTAAAAGTAAGTCGTTTCCTTTCCCCGATGCGCCGGCCATAATTGATTTAACCGCCAACACGAAGGCACTAAAGTTTCCAGACTTGAAGATGTAATTTATCTTATCTGTCATTTAAAATCATCAAATTTGAGCTAAAATTCTCATACATATATAAAAATATTAATCTTTGTTCTTTTCCAATTGAAAGAACTCTGGTTCTCTTTAGTCGTTCGTAAAATACGTAAATCTTCAGCATATATATTGGTATTAGACTCGTTAAATGAAGTGTTTGTGATATCAAATTCTTCAAAAACGCTGATGGTTTGTAACTATGTCGTACTTTCATCAAAAAAGTCAAATATTCTCACTGAGAAACTCCTTTATGTGGTTTTTCTCTACGCTAAATCCATTTCTATGTATTGTGTGAGATGCAAGATGTGATTTATAGTCTTATAATTTTATCTCTAAACTATAGGACCTGTCTTAATTTTATCCATTTTTATGAATTTGATCCACAATAAAGCCATAAAGCACATGTGAAGAATGAAAAATCAGTTATCCTGCTGATAATTCCAGTTGAAGTCAAGCTCCATCAATTAATTAATTTAACTTTAAAAATATGCTTATTAACAAATTTTATTTTAGAAAAATTTTTAAATATAGCACAATTTTACTTAAATTGTGCCATATCTAATATTAATAAATAGAAATTCTAATAATCTAATCTTTCTATTAGATTATTAGAATAAATATTGGTATATGTCTTATCTTTCTATAAGGCATATACCAATATTTATTAAAATTTATTTAAAGTGTGAAATTTTTCTGTTTTTTACTTTCAACTGATAAAACAAATGTGATTAATCACTGGAGTAAAAGAATGCAACTAACAGGTAACAAAGCAGTGTAAAAATCTGGATTTCAAGTAGGACTTGTGACCAACACTGTCACATCCTATCATCAATTAACTGAGCACTACTGCAAAGTAAACATCCATGTTTGGTTTTGTTAAGTGTCAACACACTTTGCTTTCTGCCCAGTACTTCAATTGACATAGCTTGTGGATCTTTTTCTTTGTGCACTGATACAATCTTTGAGTTTTAACAGTTCAGACTACAGTGCAGAGATCACATTGACAACTGACAGCTCAGGATCCTGTATAGTTGCTGTTTCAGATGAGAAGGGTTCTTCTATTTCTTTCTCTATAGTTGTTACTTGGTAAAGTGTATCATGCAAATCTAATGGTCGATAAAGAAACATCAGGCAATTAATTAATGTTAAAACAGATGTAAGGGAAAGTGGACCACAGATAGGTAGTTAAGGTTTATGATATTTAGTGCTAGACAAAACCATGATTATGTATGTGATAAGAAATTGTTTAGATCATAATAACAAGACACTTCCTGAAAAAAATTAAACCTACAATAAATAAATTACTAATGACTGGCTCTTCAAAATGATATCTAGTTCAGTTGAGCAAGCAACAAGCTTCCAGATGGGCATATGTCGATATATTCATGCAGCACTGAATATGGTGAAGGTTACAACAAGAGGAAGTTACAAGGGCTTAAGCCCAACCCATCAGAAAAAAAAAAATTAAAATTTATTTGTTTGAACTTCAGAACAATGTTTTTAAAAACATTTACAATGGCAAATATGGTTTATCAGACCTTCCACAATACAATCATCATTGCATCTGTTAATAAAAAGGTACTTAACTGACCGACTAATGCTATAGAAAATATTGAACAAATGCAATGCAGTAATAAATTGCAGTAATGTAATAAACAGTGCAATAATAAATTGCAGTAATGTAATAAACAGTGCAGTAATAAATTGATTAATTACACATACAAATTCTTATTAGGGAATTAGGGACATAAATAAAACCCTGCTGAAAGAGCCGGAATATTACTTAAACAAAAGCTTAACCGAACCAATCTCTAGCCAAGTACAGTGGGGACTGATTTCTTCTTAATATTAGATGTAATAAAGACAGAAATTTTTTCAGTTCAATGAGAGTGACTGAAAAGTAAATTTTGGAAATTTCCATGGACATCTGGTCCTAAAACAAATCAGTTAGAAAACAAATGACAGACAATCTACTTAGTATTAAGTTTAACATATTTAATTTTTACAGCTATAGTGAGAAACATTTAAAATTTACAACAACCCTGTCGTATCCTTTGAGGTATACTAGTGATGCAACAAAGGAGACATTTGACAATGACCAGTATAGGCATCCTCGGGATTTGGCAGCTCACATGCAGGACCATCTCTGATTCTATCCATTAGTCACTGGTAGGGATGTACACCCACCATATGTTTTATTTCACCAAGTAAGTTTTTATTATTTCATTTTTAATTGTAGCCCTTATATCATGGCTAGCGATTCAGAATGTAATTGTGATATTAAAAATAAATTTAGAGAAGTCTATGGTTTTTACTGGCTTATCAAACAAAGAAATACGAATGGACCCTAGACCAGGGGTCGGCAGGAGCAGCTCTTTGCAAAGACGTTTGTGGCTCTTCAGACATAAACTCCAATTTCACCTCATCTCAAGCAGCCTAATAACTAATGAGTTTATGAGATAAAGCCGCCAAACAAACTTTGATTTGTACGGCATACTCTCTAGCACTCTTTAGCCCGTCCACACATGACCACACTCGCGTTGATCAATATGAGTCACATGTGAGTGGTAGCATTTGAAGCATATCTATATATATAACCCACTGAACGTGTGTCTATCCGTTCGTGTAACGTTATGCCAAAAACGGCTACTACAGGCACCCCTGTTGTGTGTCATATTTCCCACATTTAAATTAACAATATAAATTATTATTTACATTTACAGTATAAATTATTATTATTCATTTGGCTATTGAGAGCCACATATATGTAATATACATATGTATAATAATTATAATAAATGAATTTATTTATTTCTAAGTAAAAATTGGAAGTCTCTGTAGAAGTAATTTTTTAAAATATCCTTTTTCGTGATAAAGGTTTAATACTTGTTTATAATCTAGACATGTTAATTACTATAATCTAGATATGGGTCACAAATATATTATATATGCTTGTGGCTCAAAACTCCATGACTTCTTCCANTCCCACATTTAAATTAACAATATAAATTATTATTTACATTTACAGTATAAATTATTATTATTCATTTGGCTATTGAGAGCCACATATATGTAATATACATATGTATATTACATATATGTGGCTCTCTGGTACTTTTGTTATCCTGTTTCCATGACAATTTTGCTCTTCTCACTTGACAAACTGCTGACCCCTGCCCTAGATCATCACAGATGTGCAATTAACTGATTGCCTCTAGAAGTTAGCTTCTTACAAAAACACAGCTTCCCTATCATCAAATATCATGGCATGCCACTGAGAGACAGTATTTTGTATTTAAAGGATGAAGAAAGCATACTAATGTAAAAATGAATAGAACACATCAAAGTATGGAATCAAAGCCTGCTTTTTATTGTAGTCTTGCACTGCACATGCTAACTGCATGCATTTTGCACGCCCTCATGTTACCTGTGATGTATTCTTCCTGCATACAAATCACCTTTCTACTGAAATAAGTGTTCATTGTACTGATCACAACAAGCCCTTTTCTACAATTTCATGACTGTCTGCTTAAAAATTACATTGTTGCTTAAGTTTTGCACACAACTGTATTACTTCTAATACCTATTCAAGTGCTAAAGACAAAATACAGAAATCACTGATTGCCTAATTAGGAAATTTCTATTGTATAAAGTACAGAAAATTGATTTGTCTAATCTATAGGGGTGATCAGTGGATGGGATGAGTCCCAATATATTCGTGTCCAACCATACGCAAAAATTTCAGAGGATCTGATCTGGAAGACAATTGGTTATCTAATCATCAGAGATTTCTAACATTAAAATTTGAATTTTACACCAATTTCTTGATTTTTTGATTCTTTCCCCTTACTAAAAATAATGTCCTTACAGTCTGGTAAATGCCTTTTGACAACTTCAAAAATGTTATGTTTTATACAATAGCATATCCTTTCTTTGAAAATGTATTGCCATAGTTATTTGTTTTTTGTACAAGAAAAAATTCAAACTGTTACTAATTTCTAAGATATACTTTTTCTGTTTTCTTTATAGTCTTTAATTATATTGATGAAACTGTATCTTTTCACAAAAAAATAATAATAAGCTTACACCCTTGACAATAACATGAATTTGAAGAGATATCTTGAAATTATTGTAATAAAAATTAATAGAAACCATTGCTATTAAGCCTGCAAGCATCTATTTGACATATAAATGCATTTCTCTTAGTATGTAAACATTTTTCTATACATGCAAGTATATCTTCTATATTAGATATGTTATGTAGAATTAATTTTTTAAATATTTTATACATCCTTGCATACATGAATATATGAATACATCCATGAGTCATATTCCTGTATGACTCATGGATATCCACATATCCATGAGTCATATTCCTGTATGACTCATGGAGATGTGGATTTGTTAAATAAAGTGTGTTACAGTTATTGATATATTTAAACTTTTAATTAAAGTAATGTACATTTCATTAAAATATAAACAAATTAAACAATTAAAAATTATTTTCAATAAAGAAGGATAATAAAATATACTATAATTAAACCTGCATGTAGAGAAAGTATATGTTTTATTGTCTATTTTACAACATTACACATATGTTTTTCCTTTATATTACCTCTTTTTATATAAACATGGCTTCAGACTGATAATTGGTGCTTTTCTGTTCTTCTCTTTTTTGATTTTCTTGAAATCAAGAAAAATGAACATCTTATGGCTTATATCCTGAAATCACAGTAAAACAAATTCTTAAATATGAAAATCAAAATATAATCTAACTTTTAAAAAACGCATTATTATTATCACAATGTTAATTTTTTAAAATACAACTAGACACCTTAATGGTGAATGATTATATTTAAATAAACGTTTTTGACTTGTTTAACAAGTCATCATCTGTTTTTAGGGAATTATCCAAATCCAACAACTTGGTTATAGTTTACAAGCAGAATCTTAAGAAACAAAAAACACATCTCTATTACACATATCTAATCTCTATTACATATAAATCTGATGTATATTTAGTTCCTGCTTGAAATACCAATACAGAAACATTGATACAGCCTTTATTGAATATAAGCAGATCTTTCCTTACAAAACTGTGAGATTATATGTATGATGCTTGCAAATGTACAATCTCACAGAGCATGGCAATGACTTCATTCACAAAAATGAATCTGAGATGCACTGGAACATAGCTAAAGTTATTAGGGCTGTAAGATGCACAGTATAATGAAAATATCATTGACAGGAATGAAATATACAAACATAAAATGACAGGAAATTATCTGAATCCCTCAAAATAAGATTGTCTACTTGTCTCATGGAAATTTGCATTATAGCAACTATTATAAAATTACACATTTTTTTTTTTTTTTACATTCAATTATTTTTATTCTTAATTAATTACTTTTTATTTAAATTTATAAAATATCATTTAACCATTTATGATTTAAATTTTTGTTCAACTTTTTGTAACTTAATACAATCTATTCTTTATCTTGTTCTAATGTTGGAATATCTTGAGTTTGTAATCTAATGACAACTCATTATGTGGGTTGAAAATATCTGTTTAAATATAATTATTCATTTTTAAAGTGTATAATTCTGTTTGTTTTAGGCTAGTGAATATTTTTCTTTCTTTATTATTAACATTTAAAAAAGTTAAACCAATAAAAACTGTCAAACTTATCATTACTCAAATGTTAATAATATTTCTGTATATGATAAAAACAAAACTGGTTAAATTTGAGTGACCAAAAAGATTTATTAAGAAATGTTTTAGGCCATTCACTGGACTCTCAGTTTACGAACTGAATATCCTAAAAAGAAGTAAAACTTAGAACTTTTAAAAATAACATTTTCATATAGAAAAATAGATATTTTCTGACAATGCTATTCAAATAAAGCAATTGTGCAAGCTAGGAGAATCAAGAGAAGTAATTCAGAAAACTTTGCATTTCAAAAAATAATACAGTGGAACCACGGTTAACGAACTTAATCCGTTTCGTGACTCCGTTCGTTAACTGAAGCAATTTTTCTCATAGAAATTAATGCAAATACAATTAATCCATTCTAGTCTCCGAAATTTTTGTGATTTTATTTGTAATACATAGTAGATTTTCTTTGATGAAAATGTAGGAAAACGTAGTATCTATCATTACAGCAACAAACATGTAAACTTTGTTTAATAAAATAGCACTGTACATACCTTCGTTTGTTGTAGTTGGTGGCAGAAAAGTAGAGATATATGAATCTTAATGCTTAGAAGGGAAATCCCCTCCAGAAAAATAATGGGTAGCACTTCATCAGAAGATTCTTTGAGTCAAAGTCTCTTTCGGTAAGAAAGCCCACCAGTGGCTAAGCGGTCTTTGTACCCTGAACACGGGGAGTTCGTTTGTGGGTTCGCACCTTGCTCAGACAGGCTGGCCACATGTTTTCCGGGTTTTCTCCACGTCTGTAACACCTAAATAGGAGCCAGTTTCCCTTAAAAACACCTCTCAGAAGGCATTCCCCCTAGGCAGATCACTCAAGTGTTGCGTTGCCATAACTTAAAAAACAAACGAACTCTTTCTGTAAGGAACAAGAAATTGATCTAAAGTTGATTGTCTTACTCTTTTAATCAAAATTTTTCTCAAATGCGATAGCGCATTGTCGTTCATATTGCGTTGTCGTTTCCTATTGTCACTATGACTTTTTTCTTTCTTGGATGTCATACTGATTAAATATATAAATCACAAAACTGAAAAAAGAAGTATAACACAAACACTCAGAAAAGCAATGCTTAACTCGCACATGCCTAACACCAACTGAAATTTGACACAAAATACCGTTACATTCGTTATCCGAATTTTGTTCGTAATCCGAGACAAAATTTCTGCAAAATAAAAGTTCGTTAACCAATTTGGTCGTTAACCAGGACGTTCGTTAACCGGGGTTCCACTGTATTCTGTAATTGGTGAGATATGAAATATATAAATTATAAGAAACTTTATAAATAAATAAAATTATAACTTTAACTGTCTACTGTTTGTAATTAGATCAAAGTAGTAATAAATAGAATATTTTAAAGAAACATGACTATTTCTGTTCGGCAGGAAGAGAACTTTTTTTACCATATTAATAATTACTGCACATCTTTTTGATGATGTAACAAAAAACAGAATTTAAACTAAGACATATAACACTTTGAAGAAGTCTGAGGTTGATTAATTAGAAAATTTTCAGAGTGATCTGCTCTATTTATGTCAAGTCTGCACTCTGACTACAAAGTTATCCCAATGGAGGAATAGTTAAACTAATGATACGCACAAATAAAAGCTGTTCTAGTGTCCAAAAAGAAGAAAAAAAACTCTTTGCATGTTTTTAAAAAAAATTGAGATAACATTTTTCCACTTAATAAATTGATCTGCTCAAATTGACTCAAACCAAAGAAAGTATAAAAGAATAACAATAATAATTAAACTTTACAAATTTTTATATAAAACGATTTTGTTATTTTCTAACATAAACAGACAAACTATAAACTAATATTTAACAGATCTTACCTTATGAATGTTGGAAAATCCAAACTGGTTTATATCATCAATAAATTTATCAATATTGTCAATCCTACTTGAAACTTCAGCTACCTTCAAGATACCACTTTAAAAAGAAAAAATATCACAATTTATGAAATATATATGTAAAATTTATTCAATAACACATTTACTATAATTACAATATCTTTTAAATGACATAATATACAATGTTATCCAATTGAAATTTAAGGCATAAAATGACCCTCTTATTGCCAGTTTGTTTCATGAATCTTGCTGGGAGCTGTAAATACCTGAATAGGATATGGGATCTGGAGTCTTTAAAGAGAGTATGTGCTGGCAACCTGAGATATATTTCAGATGCTGTTAACTTTATATAATCTGTATTCTTCATGTACTGTACATTCATACACATTCAATACATTCATATTCTATTGCACATCTTGCATGACCAAAATTCATAAAATATACTGTAGCTTAGAATATTCTATTAGTTGAAACTGCTTAAAAATGCAGTATAATAAATATTATTTATATTTTCTATATATTATCTACTGAATTTTAAAATGTCTGAAAATTTCTTTTATTGCCTTTGTTACAGATGTAATTTTATAACAAGGCTATAAAATGCAGTTTAATGTAACTGATTGATGTGTATTTTAGAACCATTAATACATCAAAGAAAAACTTCTACATTAATATTTTGATAAGAATTGAGATGATGTTCTGTGATGTTACACTAAAGATCACAACAAAATTAAAAATTCTTCTTAGTTTGTAGAAAAATTAAAAAGTCAATATTAAATATTTATTTGCTTTCTGTATAAAATATGTCACCCTATACAATTGATATACCCTATATGTATAAGTGATTGCATAAATTTTTCATCTAAAACAACAGTCTTTTTTTCAATACTCAGAATTATATTAAATAACCTAAGAACAAACACAAATCTTTAAGCAATAATTTCTACTGTATATAATTTTTACATTAATAGGAGATAAAATAAAAATACAGAATTAAATCTTTTTTAAAGAAAATACTTAGTTCTTTCACAGCCTATGATAACTACCATACCAAATACTCTCTCCACTTCTCCAGCTTTATTTAATGGAATCTCCCAATAAATGGCATTAACAACAAAAGAAGGTAATTCAAAGTGCTGTTTTAGGTAGAAAATAAGACTAAAATATATGAAATTTAGACAGAAAATAATTGTTATTTAAGTTTACACTAGATTTAACATGCAACAATTCACTGTTCAATATCATTTTGTTTTTGACAAGTATCCTTCATGTAAGGAAATCAAGTTGTCACATTCTAGGCAGTCTATATGGAAGTATCCACTAATGATTACATAAAATAAATTAATACTGTCACAAATAAAAATAAGGAAGCATCTGAAACTTCATTAATTAATAATCATTTGTCATAATAATAATTAATAATCAAGATGAGCACAGTCCAGTCAGCTTCACTGTCACTATTTCTCATAAAAGAGCTTGACTTTGAAGTACTCAAAAGCTTATTTTACTAAGACTGTAAAATGCAATAAATTCTGCTTTGTTTCCTTATTATAAATAACATCTTATTGCTATATTACATTATAGGCTTTACAGCTATAATTTAAGTTAACTTCCAAATAAATACCAAATCGTCAAAGAATCAATCAAAGCACAACTGAAGATCTTTGTATTTATTATTTAAATGTATTTAATGAAAGATTTTTTAAAATTTATATTTAAATTATAAAATACATTTGTTATAATTTACATAAAATTTAATTAATAATAGCGAGGTTGGGTCCGAAGTTTTAAACGCGAAAAACATCGGACGTCCACTGCTACTTTCCTGTAAGCCTAGAAGTTTGACAATAACGTTTGGATAGTCAGTGGAATCATACTCGACATTCCAAACACCATTGTCAAACTTCTAGGCTTACAGGAAAGCGGCGTTGGACGTCCAATGTACATGTTTTTGTGTTTATAACTTTGGCCTCAACCTCGCTAATGCTAGTACTTTCAACCTTAAAAGTAGATTATCTTCAAGCTACATAATTTGTAGCTAACCTGTTTTTAAAATTTGCAAATTTATAAAGCTTAATTTCCTCATACAACAGGTTGAATATAATATTGACTTACTTAAACCAAATAACCAGACCGTTTATGTTCTATCATTGCGAACATTTTTGATGCCCCTTCTGGGCTATTCCTCAGGCTTCTACATATATTCGTTCCAAGCTGGCCATTAAATTTCAAACTTCATTCGAAAGGTATTCAATTCTGGATGCCAAATGTGCATGCGCTCCAAGACATTCAAATATCATATAATATGACGAGTTTCGAAATGTGTTCAAGTTTCAAATTAAATCCAATAGAAAATCATATGATGTCGTCCAATAAGACTTGCCATGCCATAGAAAGGGATATCGCCTCTAAAATTAATGCAGGTAGTCTTGCATCTCGCCTTAAATATTTCCAGACTTTAACAAAGCTCGTATTATCCTCACCACTCCACATCCGGATCACCTCAAATGGTTGGAGGCAATGGAAATATTTAAGGCGAGATGCAGACCACCTGCATTAATTTTAAAGTGGAGATATCCATTCTATGGCATGGCAGGTCTTACTGGATAATAACATTTGATTTTCTATTGTAAATTGATTTAATTTAAAACTTGAGTGCATTTCGAAACTTGTCGTATTATACAATATTTGAATGTCTTGGAGCGCATGCACATTTGGCATCCAGAATACCTTTCGAACTTCATTCGAAAGGTATTCTGGAATTGAATCTCGAATGAAGTTTGAAATTTAATGGCCAGCTTGGAACAAATATATGTAGAAGCCTGAGGAAGAGCCCAGAAGAGGCATCAAAAATGTTCACAATAATAGATAACCGGACTTAAACCAAATAACCGGAACATAAATGCTCCGGTTATTTGGTTTAAGTAAGTAGATATTAAATTTATAAAGTTTTACAAATGCAGTATAGCTTCTTAAAATTAAAACTTACTTCATGGAATATTTATAACTTTTATTAAATTTAGCATCAAGTTCAGACTGCAAATACCACAATGCAGCCACTTGTGAAAATATTTTTCCAATAATAGTTAGCATTACAGCTAGTGGTACAGCTAGTAATTATCACATGCCACAGTTCTTTGAAAAATAAAATTCATTCAAATTTTTTTTTATTTCTCAAGAAAAACTGTAATTAAAAATTTAAGATTTTGGTACCTAACACAATATTGCAAATTATTTTTATTTTATAAAATATGATAAAATACATACTTTGGTTTTAAAACTCTATGAGCTTCATGCAAATAGTCATTAATATTTGTTCCCATTAAAGCAAGGCAAAATACAGCAATGTGAACAGATTCCTTACCCAAAGGTACCTAACAAAAAAAAATGCAACCAGTTAATAAATGTTATGAATTATATAGTATTTTTACTCAATTAATAATAATAAATTTCTTATACAAAGAAACATATATTATCATAAGTTACACTTATGTGTTGTGGCATTATGAATGGTGACTGTTAAGAGTTTTGATAAGTTCACAAGCACTTTCGATAACATATAGTTACTGTAGAGTATTGACCTTTTAGTAGAGAGGGAACAAAAGAAGCGTGATCTTGTCAATTGGACCCACGTGCGGTCGGGCAGTATACCACTTGTAAGGTGTTGACTTGTAAAATTGTAAACAGAGGAAAAACAAAGGGAGCGCTGACTTTGTCAATTGGACCCACCTATGGTTAGATGATAGACCATTTGCCAAATGGTAAACAACTAAATGTAAACAAGTGGCGGATGTTTATGTAAGCTTCACTCTCATCGGATGACGGCAGACCCAAGTGTAAACTGTTCGGGTTAGAAAGGGTTGTGATTGGTCAGAAGTCCCCATCCAAAAAACCCTTAAATTGTAGGGCAAACGGGAGAGAGAGGAGAGAAGGGCAAGAGACTGATACACAGTATTCTCAGGCACTTGGGATACCTGCTGAGCGCAGAGAGAGTGTTCTCCTCTGGTAATCATCTCAGGGATGGGTTAGTGCAGAGACTGGACCAACCGTGCAGTTGAGCCAACTCCACAAGTTGACGGAGGCCTCTACAAAGTTTAACAGTTCCTGGAAACCAATCTAGTACGTGAGTCACCACGCATTGTTATTCTGTATATATATTATGTTTTCGAACTTGTACTTTCTGCATATAGAATCTGTAAATAAACTGTAAATATTATCAATTTGGTGTGGAGGTGTTCTTTCCATCAAACCTGGATCACTATATCAAATCGTGATACACACAGAAACCAACTCAACGAGACGGAGTTTGGGGAAGAACATCACATATATCTTCACTGTTACCATCTTCAGGTGAAAATTAAATACAACAGTTTCTTATTTTTAAGCTTTCAAACTGCTTGTTGATTTAAACAAAGAGGCTAGATGGAACACCAATTTAAGCTTTCAAACTGCTTGTTGATTTAGAGCAAATGGCTACATTTTACCGCTATCTACACAACCAACACTAAGAAGATTGTTATATAATGACAGAGACACTATTAAATTAAAGGAAAAATCGGGAGTTTATCTAATTCTGTTAATTAATTAAAGCATGATCGATCAGGGAAAGAAACTAGCTATATAGGAGCCACAGCTAGAACGTTAACATCTCGCATCACAGAACATCAAGATGACATCCAAAATAACTGACCATCAACGGAATTGGCAAAAAAAGTCCTTGATCAGGACTATCAGTCGCTCTGGGCCCAAACAAAATTATTAAAAGGGTGTAACAATCAAAAAGAACTATTTATCTGGGAGAACCTTTATATATCGATTCTAACACCATGTAATGCAACAACTCTAGAAATTCCGCAAATATGGACTATGTTATTTAAACATTATAATCTGCATTTCTAGAGCAACAGTGTCACATAGCAACCATTGTTTGTGATTTCTACATCATTTCTTTTCTTGTTCAAAATATTTTCGAACTAACTACATTCCAATTTTAGTTTAAAAATTGGTGTTCCATCTAGCCTCTTTGTTTAAATCAACAAGCAGTTTGAAAGCTTAAAAATAAGAAACTGTTGTATTCAATTTTCACCTGAAGATGGTAACTAAATGTTATCAAAAGTGCTTGTGAACTTATCAAAACTCTTAACACTCACTGTTTGTAATGCCATAACACGTAAGTGTAACTTATGATATTAACAAAGTCGGCGTGAAGTGATTATTATATTTAATATGAAACATATTATTCTTGTTTGTTCTAATTCAATGTCACGACTTGGTGAATTTATCGACACTTGGCAAATAATTTCATCATCCACTTTTAATTCATACAGATACGCGTTTCGGGCTTTCACCCCTCTTCAGTCTGTTACATACATAGGTTGTATCTTGTGTATACAGTATCTTCAGGCACCTTCTGTACTTCCCACTCCCCTTCCCTTCCCTCCCCTCCCAACTTGACGGCTTCCCCCCATGCCTCGTAACTTGTAACGTCTCACACCCCGAGTGCCGCACACAGCCTCGCCTGCGACTGTATAAACATTCTATTTTAATAATTGTAGCCAGTTTTTATGAATGTCAATGCTTAGATTCTTGTTAATATTATTTTTGTCTTTAGAAATTTCATAGCTTTCCTTAAATTTTCTTTTGTACTAATTTTTTTCCTTGTGTACTATTATAACATCATTCTTATCTATTTTGCAGTTGTGGGTTGTGCAATGTTCATAAAAAACAGAGTTGATTCTATTATACTTCAGGTCCGTGATGTGTTCTTTTAATCTTGTTTCTAATTTTCGTTTTGTTTCTCAAATAAAATTAAAAACAAGATTAAAAGAACACATCAAGTTATGAGGCATGCGGGGGAGGCCGTCAAGTTGGGAGGGGAGGGAAGGGAAGGGGAGTGGGAAGTACGGAAGGTGCCTGACAGATACTGTATACACAAGATACAACCTATCTATGTAACAGATTGAAGAGGGGCGAAAGCCCGAAACGCGTATCTGTATAAATTAAAAGTGGATGATGAAATTATTTGCCAAATGTCGATAAATTCACCAAGTCGTGACATTGAATTAGAAGAAACAAGAAGAAGACATGGTTTCGACAAATAAATAAAAAAATATATTATTCTGTTTATCTATAATGAAAACAATAATACTATATAAATACAGTGGTGCCTCGTATAACGTATGCCTCGAATAACAGATGCTGCGAACAACAGACTTTCTGTTTGGCCGTTATGTGACTCAAGCAACGGACTGGCTGCGAACAACGAACTTTCCATTCAGCAGTTACGTGAAGTGAACAACAAACTTTCTGGGAACAAGTGTGAATGATGTTTTCACTCTTTTGCCATTGCCAATGACAATCTGCTATTTTTATAATATATTAGTATTATTAGAATACATTATTAGTATATCTGAAGTACAGAGCTCCCGTTGGGATTCCGCTTGCTCCCTTGTTTATTAACGTACATCACCTCAGTGCAGGGTATTTACATTTATTCAAGTGTTGTGCAAATCATGGCTTCTAAAAAACAGAAAAGTGATTTCAATTGAAACAAAGCAAGACATCATCAGATGGAGTGAAAGTTGACAAAAACTTCCTTGTCGAATGGGGAGAGGTTCAGGAGTTTACCAACACTCATTATCCAAACAGAGCTGAGGCCAAAGAATCAATGACCTCTACAATGACACCCTTGCCTGTCATTTCTGACAGGTGTTGAAGAATAGAGAGAAACAGACCATCTTAGACATGTGTTTCAAGAAGCCAGCAGGCAAAAAACAAAGGATGAAACAAGAGGAGTTGACCCTGCAAGCTCTGGTAGCTTCTCCTGAATCTGACTCCGATTAAAAAACAATAAAAAGAAACCTGCTGCAATGTGTAAAAAGTCTGTATCTGTATGAATGTGTGAAGAAAATGTTCCTCCAACTCCTCCTCACAACATCTGACTACCCATCATAATTGGTGACTGCTCCATTTTCATTTTTTTATGGTACAGTATGGTTATTTTATGCTGCAGAACGAATTATGTGTTTTAACATGTATTTCTATGGAAAAACGCGTTTCGTATAACGGACTTTTCACTTAACGGACGTGCACCTGGAATGGATTAAGTACGTTATACAAGGCACCACTGTATTTTATAATATAATCATACTTACATTAGCCATATTACAAGCAGTGACATATTTATTCATACTGAATAAATCAAATGAGTGCACAACTCTGTCTGGAAAAACCTGAGCTATTTTTGCATTTCCGCATCCAAAATCAGCTATGACGTGTGATTTTGGTCTGCAAAATATATTTAAAAAGATTTTAGCAATTAATAAATTCCAACTTCAGTTCATTATACATCTATTTTTAAAATATATTAATATATTTCTACTCTGAAAAACCTGTACAAATTTTTATTTAAAAATAATATCATACACAGTCTATACTAAAATTTTCTAAATTGATTAAATTACCCACAATAAGATGGAAGATGGCTTCATTTTTTAATTAATAATATCATGGTTTAGGTTAAAGTTCATGCTACAATTCATCTTAAGTTTTGGCACAATCTATATCATACACATTATTGTAGTATAAGTTAGCTGGCTGATCTGCAGAAAATGCCCTTTTTTTTCTTATTTCTTGATTCACAAAGTCATTGCCCTTTGCAAATTTTTGGTGAAAAAATATTATGGTTCTTAATCATCTTTGCTACTCATCTGATTTGTCACATGTGATTATTGTTCTTTCCTACACTGAAATTCTAAATAAAAGGTATGCATTCTGATGACATTAAAGACATTCAAAAAACCATAACTGGAGTTCTGAGGGTTATCCCTAAGAAAGATTTTTAGAATGTTTTGATATATTTTATGTCCATTAAGATAAAATAAATAACCTTTTATTCAGCAAATAATTAAAATTAAATAACAAACATTTTCATCCATCTTCATAGCCCAAAAAAAGAAAAGCAGTTACAAAGAAGAATGTCATATGCTTAAATTCAAAAAATTATAATTATAAATTATTATTAATTATCACAGCCAATATAATTATAAATTCTGATATTGGCACACAAAAGCTTTACACTATGTTAGCACAAATTAAAAGATTAACTAGGATTAACTAAAAATGAAACAAGGTTAACGTATGTAAATTATATACAAGTTATAAAAACTAGGATAATGTGTGAAGCATCCCCTATACTTCCACATCACTTGACCGAAGGGTTGACATCACGTTGGTGATGACTACCTCAGGATGACACCACTGTGTCTTTTCTGATTGACACAGAAGCCGCAATGGCTGTTTATTTATTGGGTTGTTTGGAAAGTTATTTCGTTTTTTTTCCATGGAAAAAAACACAATATTTTTATAATAAATAAATATTTTATTGAATTATATATCGACCATTTTGGTCAAATACCTGTTGTCATCATTTCTGGTAGTAGCATGATTTCACATTCATAAAAGTTTTGATCGTTGCTTACAAAAAACTGATCCAAATGATTTTTGACATTGTCATTTCAAGTAAATGTCTTACAGTTGACAAAAATTTGTATAGACCAGAACAAGTAATAATCTGAGTGTGCTCGATCTGGCGAATATGGTTGGTGTGATAGCACCTCCTATCTAAGTTATAACAGTTTCTGATGAGTTACCAAACTTGTATGAAATTTAACATTATCGTGGTAAAACACTACACCTGTTTTGTTGATCAATTCTGGCCACCTTTTCTGTTTGATGATATTACTCAATTTGTTTACTCAATGACAGTACACTTTCAAATCAATTGTTAAATTGTCTGGTAAAACCGCAAAAAAAAAAAAAAAATTCCTTAAAATCCCACCAAAGAGAGCATCTCTCTTTAAGAACATGTGAACCCATATATCAAGCTTTGAAACAAAACCAATTTGTTTCAAGTAATCATAAACAGTTCAATTTGACAAATTTAATCTCTTAGTGATTTCAGGTGTTGTTATTCGGCAGTTTGCTTCAATCACTATCTTTATTTTGTTTTCATTGGCTTCAACTGGCCATCCAGAATGTGGTGCATTTTCAATATTGAAATTGCCAGAACAAAATTTTGTAAACCAGTTTTGACACTGTCATTCTGTTTAATACATCTTCTCCATACACGTCACACAATTTTTTTCTCACAGCATTCTTACCTTTTCGGTAATAAAAGAGCAAAATATGCTGAAAATGATGCTTTAAATCTTCCATATTTGATGGGACACAAAAAATAAACAATTGCACAAAATCAAACAAAATTTTTTACAAATAAGCCTTAAAATGCTAGCTGTCAAAATATATAATGATAATATGGTTTAGAATGAAAATGGCGGGAAAAATACGACTAATCCGTCTAGTGGTTAAAAAAAACGAAATTACTTTCCGAACAACCCAATAGGTTATTGTTGGTTCACTTGAGCAGTTGTATGCATAGGCAGTTGGATTGAGTGAGGAGTAAGCAGACATTAAGGTTGTGTTAGTGTGTGCTCTCCAGTTTTTTGGATTTCTCAGCAGAACTTTTTGTGATAGTGTTTTGCAAGGGGTACCACTGCACTTGTCTCACTGCTCTGAGGAATTTGGTATGTTACTTGTTTAATTATGCTAATTGGGGGAGGTAATTAAATTTTAATTCCATAAATTTCGGCTGAGCCTAGTGGGTGGCAGACAAATTTCTGGGGGCAGCACTAGAGGGTTCTTTACAGGGGACATAAATATAGTAGTACCTAAATTTTGGTGGGAATAGGTAATGTTTTTGAGGAGTTATCCATGATTATAGTTCAATACATTAAGTTAAATAGGGAAATTTGAATTCTAACGGTTATTTAACGGGACCAACGGTTTCCTAACAGATCTAATGGTTGTTGTTTTTGGTTGCTGCACCTGGCTTTTGTTTTTTGGTTACAATTTTAAACTTTTCAATTGTTGTAATTGCTAAATTTTTTGCATTGTTTCAACTGTCATCAGTTTTTTAATTGTTATCAGTTTCTTTGATGTTTTAACGTGATTTCAAAGTAGACTTACACTTAATTTCACTCTAGTTCTTGGGTTTGTTATTTAACATTTTTTTCCAGTTTTGCATCTTAAAGGGTTTTTGATGGGTCCACAGTTTATTAGGGTGCAGTTTGGGGGATATTTTAAAATTCACCTTATTTTTATTTTAATCATAGTGCTTAACGCATTTTTGGTTACTTTAAGGTTTTTTTTGTTTTCGGGTTTTCAACACTGGCAGTTTTAAGGTACCTAAACATATTAATATTTTACCGGGGCTTTTTAAGGTATTTTGGATTGGGGTTCTTACTAGTTTACCATGGACTCTAGTGCAAATACCAATTCCGAGGATAGTGGTGGTGGAGTGATAGCAGGGGTACTCATGGAACCACTTGAGAAGGTTGTTAAAAAAACCTCATTCCTTTTGGAAAAGGTTATGGGGCTCTGCCCAGCCTCTTTGAAGACTGGCCCAAATACAAAAGTATGACAGGAAATTCGCAACACTGTGTCAAAGCTCCATGAATGTGTTCATCAAATGTATGGGGTTTTGAAGGAACTGAAGGATCAGAGGAGCAAAGCTGAGACTACAACAATCACTCCAGTGGTTAAGAGCTATGCAGAAACAGTTAGAGCCCTGAAAAACCCTAGCACCACTATAGGGACATCACAAAGGCAATCAAACAGAAGTACAACAAAGAAGGGTCAGGGGAAGAAGAGGCCCTCCAGTTGTATCCAAAAGAGGCAGAGGGAGAAAATGCCACAGACATGACAGAGGTTACAGAAATGCTCAAGGAAAAAATTCAACCTAGCAAGCTAGGCATCGGTGTGCACTTAATCAGATCAGTCAATGGAGAGGGAATTTGCCTAAAAGTTGCGTCATGCAAAGATGGGGATAGTCTCAAAGAAGCAGTTGAAGCAATTCCCAAACTTGCTAATAACGTTAAAACAAAGGTCTTGTAAGTGAGGTGTCTGAGGATTATTATGATCAATGTTCTGAACTACATACAGGAAGACACTATTACCAAAACACTTTATGAGCAAAATATGATATGGCAGGGGACCAGTCTGCAGGAATTTCAGCAAAAATGCAGAATAAGTACAACTTTAAAAAAAAGGAAATGTAAAGGAAGGCAGTAGGCATGTCATTTTAAGCATAGTCCCCCAGATTAGATGAATACTGATAACAAATAAGCATGTGGCACTTGCATGGAGTAACATAAGGATATATGACTTTGTCTATATTCAGAGTGCTGTGGCTAGCCACTACACAAAAGATTGTACAAATAAACAATGGTCTAGCCACTTTGCCAAGTGTCAAAACAAGGACAAGCAACTAAGGTGCATGAACTGTCAAATAGCAATTAAGAAACAAACAAGAACATATAACAAAGTAAAAGAGGCATGCTCCAGACCACAATGCATTCCAGACAAGGTGCCCAGTCCTGCAAAAAATTAAAACAGCAATCATCTTACAGACCAACTATGGAGACTAGGCATATCAGTGCTCATAATACTGTCACAACTACTTGTCTTTTGGGCAACCAACAACAGCAGAACCAACACAGCTTCAGACCACAAACTTAGCTTCCTCCAGGTAAATCTGCAGAAGTGTAAGGCAACTAGCAGCACTCAACTAGTCAGTGAAATCCAGGAAAAGCCAATAGATGTTATTAAAATTCAACAGCCATACATAATTGGCAACAATCAGTGGCGTGCAGTGACATTTGATGATAGGGAAGCTGTGTTTCTGTAAGAAGCCGACATCCAGGGGCAATCAGTCAATTGCACGTCAGTGATGGTCTAGGGCAGGGGTGTCCAACCCGCTGCCCGTGGGCCGCATGCGGCCCAAGGCAAGTTCCAATGAGGCCCAATAAACATGTAAACAAAACCGACAAATTTTTTATTTTATTTTATTTATTTATTTCAATGGCATAAATTCAAAAAAGAAGTTTCACAAAGCCGTAAACCTTTAAACATATTTAATTTTTGAGTGGAAAGGAAATATTTTCAAATACTTGGAAATGTGTGAATGAGAAAGGAATACTAAATAAAGCTAAAGTTGAGACTCAAAGAATTATAGACCCAAATTCAGGGAAAGAAGAGTAATGCCAAAAGATAAAAAGTAGAGAAAAAGGTTATATAGANTTTGAGTGGAAAGGAAATATTTTCAAATACTTGGAAATGTGTGAATGAGGAAGGAATACTAAATAAAGCTAAAGTTGAGACTCAAAGAATTATAGACCCAAATTCAGGGAAAGAAGAGTAATGCCAAAAGATAAAAAGTAGAGAAAAAG